GAATGAATGGAAGGTGTGGTAGAATTTTGTAGAATTCAAATAGAAATATCCTAAAATTGGTCCACCAAACCGACTTCTATTATACATAACCCGACCCAAGATAAGTTATGAAAAAGGTCAAATTTTCCGGCTTCAATTCTTGAGCTTGAATTATTTTTTGGGTTTAGTCAGGCTAAAGTGAGTGCTGGCTACATGTCACATCTTATGGCAGCATATGACGTGAGTTACAATACAAGGCTTTGTATGGTTTCAATTCATAATGGCTAATCAATAATCATCAAGGTTCCAAATTCTAATAGGGAAGAAATAGGGAGATGTTTGCTTACCTTAATGTTGGTATAAGATCCTTCAGTGATATAAACAGGATGCTTAAGGTGCTCAACAATTGAGACATCATCGGTAACTTCAAGACCTTCTCTGCAAGCGAGGTTGCGCATAAATTCAAGTTAGATTCTGAAAAGCACTCCATCTTCTAAACATTGATGCAATTAATGAAACCAAATAATATGTACTTGTAACTTCATATTCCAATTTAGTGGTGGGTTCTCATCCAACTATCCAACTAGTGTTTGCATAGCACTCGGGCCCATGTAAAATATGACACTACGACAGTATACCTTATACTTTGATATCGTACATAACATAATAATAATAAGATAATGCTTCTAAACGTTTTAAATAGTTTAAACTAAATTGAGCATGAGAATGAGAAACTACCTGTTTACAAGCTCAAAGCCTTTCCTCAGCAACTCAGGCTTAATAACCTGTAAAAATGGACTGCATCTAAGTAATTGACCAAGTTCTCAGACAAAGGATATATATATATATATATATATATATATATATATATATATATATAATAATTATTATTATTATTATTGACCTGTGGGGTCTGCATCTCCCATAATGTTTTTCTGTCCAACGTTTTAACAACAAATGATTCACTGTTTGCCTGCAAAATGGTTGCAAGACAAACATCAGTACCCTTACCCATCAATCAGAGTAAAGGGCTATACTCATGCACATATTAGTTATTCAGTACAACAATTTCAATCGAAAAAAGAAAACATTCTTGTTGCACAAATTTCATGTAGTTATTGCTACTTCTATCAAGTATAAACACAAAAGGAGCTGAAGTAAAAACTGTCCATAGTTGAGCAGCAGCTACAAAAATGTGAGGGAAATAACACATAAAATTACATATAAAAGCAATTTAGTAGAAATATAAAAATCAAGCTTGTTGGTCATCAGATGCCATAACAAAAATGAAATAAAACATTTTCAACAAGCAGGGAAAAGGAGAGAATATAGCCACACAAAAAGACAAACAAATACTTTACTTGAAAGGAAGACATTTATCTTCATTAACCTACATCTTTGTTTACCATACACACTTAGGTAAGAGGGATTGAGAGGAAATATAAAAGAAAAAAAAATCAAAGTTTTAAGATAATGCTAGTTGTTCAAATTCATAACAGAAAATGTAGTCAACCTTAATGAACAGTAATCAGATATTAAGACTCAAAGGAAACACAGCTGCGAATTCTTGCATAAAGTTGCTGATCACGTTTGGATTTGAAATTTTCTACAGAATTATTTCTGTGGATAGGGGATATGAAAAGTTCACTTTTATAGAAAAGAAAATTCATCAACCTCTTAAACCAATTGAGGAAATTAACGTTCGGATACCAACAGATAGTAAATACCTCTTTGATTGTGGCCTTCACAGGAACACCAAGAACCGCAGCTCCATTCGATAATCCATCTGCAAGGACCTAAAACAGAATATGAAGGTGTAATCTAAGCATCCTCTTACTGATCCATTGAATTGTAAATCGAGAGAGAACCCCAAAGGCAAGGGAGTGGGTGGGTAGGTTAACTAATAAGCATTCGGAAGAATTTGAAAAATACCCGACCAAAAACACACAAACTATTTAAATCAAGCAAAATAGTTCAGATACACATCGACACATGTGGATCCAAATAGCATGAAAGCTTCTACATGAACTATGGACTCTAGTGTGATTGTGGAGTTAATAACAACCCAGAGTTCTTTTCAGCATTTGTTTGTTCCATTTAAATCACTGACATCAACCTAGGAGGTGAAGATACAGCACAGGATGCGGATATGATACAATTCAAACACAGCATTATAACAAATGTCATAAAACGTTGGACCAAATACGACTAGAATACAATGTCTTAAATCAATATAAAATTAACAAAAAAAATTCGTGTTAAAATCCACCAAATTATATAATAATTTCAATTTGTAGTATTCATTTAGAAGTTTAAAAATAACAAAAAGCACTCTGGCTAGGACTTTTTGAAGTGTCCCTGAGATGTCCTAATAAGGATACATGGTTGAAGTTGATGAACAAAGCATACTATTTTAAGTGTCTGTGCATCCCTGACACTAACATTAACATAAAATTGAAATTTTCCTGGCTAAATAACAACTTGAAGACATGAATTCTTCTGTATCTCACACACCCAACTAATGTAATATTGTTAAATTTCCTTAATGAATATGTAACTTCAAGGGAAAAAAAAATCAAAAAGCCAAATTAAATTTGTTCAAGAGAAATGTAATTGATCCAGACCTTTCTCACATCGCTTGATAACACCAAAGGTCTTGCAGAATCATGAATGCAAACAAGCTCAGAGCTCGGATCAACAGCCTGCAAAAATAAAAAAGAACATCTAATAATTCAATGAAGGTATCAACAACTCAATGATACCACACAAGGTTGTCAAACTTGAGAGCCTATGTAAGCTCGTGGAGCTCCAGTAGAATCAAGTCATAAAATCATAAGAGTCTGCCTATTATAAAAAGTAATGTTAAGAAGCTTATTTATGACATATATGCATAGCATAATATTCTTAACAATAATTCAACATTTCAACTCCCTGATAAAACAAAGTAGCAAACCACAATAATAAAGTGTGATGATACATTAGAACTAAACATGATTCAACTACATAAATGACCAAATCAAATATAAATGTGAAAAAAATAAGAATACAGTATTTAATATTTCGTCAACCAGCTTCTTATATACCACGAATAAACATTTTTAAAAGATAAAATTATTTTGTCTCTAACTTTTGCCAGGCATAATATATAAAAAAGTACACAGAAACTGGCATTAATTACAAATCTAAAAGTACCATGTATATCACTAAAAGGAGTGAAAAATTGACTATTGTATATCAGTAATAAGGGATGCAAGATGAGAATTTACAAGGGCGGCAAATATATAAAATTTTGCATGTATTGAAAACTTGTTCTGCATTAGATGGGCGATATCCCCTCTCTCATTAATTTCATTCAATATAGTTCCGTCCATGCTCAAATTTATCCAGAAAAGATTTTAGCAGCGAGTTAACTAGTTTTTTCTACCAAGAATTGCAAGAAAAAACTATATAGTTATCTGGAAAGATTTCCAAGAAAACGGCTTTCTTAGCCAGCAAAGTCTTGGTTGTCCAACCACATTTCAGATTGTTTTTCCTTTTTATCAGGGGAGGGAGGGGCTTGATGTCAGGTTACTCATTCCCAACTAATAATCATTATTTGGGAAGAAAAAAAGTAAAACGTAACACTAATGAAATGACAGAAAAAGCTTGAAAATAACCCATCATTGTGATTTTAAAAAAGCACATTCCTGAAGGCCATTGTAAACAGAATCCTGTCTTTCTTTTCCAGGCAGTGCAAATTTGAGTTCCGCTTCATAATTTCCCTTCGCATCTGAGCAAAAAAGAGTATTAATAACGAAGAAGCACATGTTTTGCAAAAGAAACCAAAGCTAAAGGTGGGGGAAACCTTCAAAAACGTCTCTGTACGAAGGATCACAAACCACAACGACTTCTTTCACTTCAAACATGTGAAAAAAAGTGTGGAAACTGCAAAGGATTGGCATATCCGGACCTCATTGTATCAAAAAGAAATAAAAGATGATATAAAAGCATCTGTAGGAACAGAGTTACAAATCTGCACTAGTAGAGTAGACTTGTTTATGCATGGTTGATGAAGGTACGCAGAATGCAATAATGCATGGTTCGCATGAGTTATGTATCATGTAATGATTGTTGAAACACAGAATTGCAGCCATATGACATAAAACATAAGGATCGGATAGGATTACCTAAACAAAGCAATGGGTTGACCGAAAAGAGGAAGATACTGCTTTGGTACGATAGCCTGTGATAAGAAAGAAATAGAATGAAATTAAATAAATTAAAAAAAAAATTGAAGAAAAGTGGGAAGGATGTAAAAAATGGGATTGATAGATGAATGAATTTAGGAAGAAGGAAAACAGACTCCCATCCTCTTGCCCTGCCCTCCGGCCAACAGGACAACCGACACACTTCTTTCTCTCACGACATCACCACCAGACTCCACCGTCTGCTCCTACATAACACATTGACATCGTTAATTCATTCATATAATATAATGGTGGAAGTTGAATCCAAGCACTGACTTGCAAAGGTTGAGGTTGAGACTGAGCAGAGCAGGAAATGAGGCTTGGTTTTGCATTTCTCTTTGAGCAGATTTGAGTAGTGGGAGCAGCTGATGAATATGAAAGAAGCAAGAGTGAAGCAGGAAGCAAGGAGGAACAGGGAAAGAAAAGGAGAAGGCATTCAGAGACTTGCCTGTGTTTGGGAGTCTGTGAATCAGCGGTGAAAATGATAGAGACGAAGAAGCCGAGGAAGAAGAACAGAGACGGAGATGAAAGGGAAGTGTAAAGGCGGCCATCTCTGACTCACTCTGCTGCTCTTCCTTACTGTTCCTCACACCACCAACCAAACGTTATTATTTCTTCATGTGCTTCATCCACGCAAAACCAGAGGCCCATTTCTATTCCCTAAATTTTAATTTTAATGTGGTTGGCGGCACAGAGGAGCAGTTCGGTCTTTTCACCACCACCATATGGGTGCGGAAAGAAATGGCCATAAAAGTGTATTAGAAAGAAGAATAATGGGTCTGGGCCTGGGTTGAGGAGAGCCCAATAAGGATGGAAAGAAAGAAAAGGGAGAGAGAATGCGAGAGAATCGAATTGGAAGAGGAAATGGGATCGGGAAAACACACGGCAGAGTTCTTCAGAAGAAGGGATGCGTGGAGGAAGCATCCCATGCTCATCAATCAGTTCCGGCACGCCACCCCTGGCCTTGGCATCGCCCTCGTTGCATTTGGCTTCTATCTCGTCGGCGAACAAGTCTACGATCGCCTCAATGCCGATTCTCATGCTCACGTACTATTATCTTCTTCTTCTCCTTCTTATTAGGGTTTCTTCGTATTCCTCCTATTTCTATTCAGTTCACTAATTATCCACACACTATCACTGCTAATTGAACATGATTTGTTATCTTTTGTCCTCTTGCAGGTGAAAGCCGAGAACCACCACTAATCTCAACTATTGGATTCCATCGTCGCTTTCCCCCCTTTCATAATAAGCTTTGTCTTCATCCATGTTCTCGCAGCCTTCACTGAATGTATAAATTTCAGACTATGTTACCTTATTTGCCTCTCAGCATGTCTTGTATGGCCACATTTTATGTCTTCTTGCATTGTTGACATTGCAAAATACCATTTTTTTTCTATCGCATTCCTGTTTCTGCCTGTATGTGCCTCAATGGCTCCGCCTTTTTCAGCAGCCATCAAATTTATTCCTGTACGTCTCAACCATCCCTTAATTTGTGATATTCGTATTTCCAGCAACATCTGCTAACTGTGAGTTGATTTACTCCCTGACTTATTAGGAAATAAAATTGATCAATTGTTTTGGGATTGAATTTACCTTCAGTAATGTCCAGGACTGGGATGATGCCAATTTTAGGGACCAAAATTGAGGTTTCACACAAGATATGTGAAATTCCCTCTTGTGAGTGTGGAAGAAAACTGAACTGTACGAGTAGTGTCTTTTTTTGGTTTGTGTAATTGAATTGGACTTCTCCGTTGGAGTAGTGTCTTGGTTCGGGTTGTTGAATTAGTTGCTTAACTCTAGCCTCCTCTGTTTCGAAAACAAAAAAGCATTTATAACAGAATAGAAATGTCACTAACAAACTTTATTATTAGTTAAAATCTATTGGAAAATGCAAAATTTTGTTGGTCTCATTTTTATGAGTATCACTTATGATTCTTATTAATGAATTGTATCTGATAATAGTGTGTTAGAAAGAGTGTATCTAAGTTTGTTCTTGACACGCTCATCTTGATCAATTAATCGCGTGGAGAATTCACAGTAAAGCTAAAGAAATGGCAGTAATCAGAATCATGGCCATGATAAAATACAAAACCAATACAGTAAATCAGCAAAAGAAAGAGGGGAACCTTATTTCTGTGTTTATCTTGATCTAGCTCGTACTTTCCTGACCTCTTCTGATGATAGTGTTAGCAGTCTCACTTTTAGGCCCTGTTCTCTTGAGTGGATTTGAGGGAATGTATTTGAGGGGATTTGAGAGGATTTGAAGATAATTTTTTTTATCGTTTTTTTGAGCAAATTTGGAGGTAAATGAGAGTGAATTTAAAAATAATTTTTTTTAATATGTCATGTCAATACAATTCTATACTAATTCTCACAAATTTTATTTTCAAATTCACTCTCATTTACCTCTAAATTCGTTCAAAAAAACGATAAAAAAAATTATTTTCAAATCCTCTCAAATCCCCTCAAATCCATTCCCTCAATCCACTCAAGAGAACAGAGCCTTAAGTAAGATAAACTGTTTTGACTTGATATTTCAGTCTCAAGACCCTTCCACCTAATAAGTCTTTTGAGTTAGCTCTCCTCTTGGTTTGAATCATAGTTATTGGTGTTTTCATTGTGAATTAGACTACGAAAGAGAGTACAAATAGATTGATTAAGGTTTAAACCTAATACTGACAAGTGACTCAAGTGGTCATTAGGGTGAAAGTTTGTCCCCAAAGGGGTGAGGTGACGATGTTACGAGTCTCGTATCGAATAAAATGAGTTACTTGATATCATACTTAAAGCTGGAGGCAGTCTTTCTTAATAAATCAGTTTTTTTGAGTTAGACTCTCCCATTGTACATAAGTCCTAACAAAAAGGTAGACATTTTGGTTGTTAGGTGTATGTTCTTGTACATTTTCTCTCTATGTCCCCGTAAAAGGGGACTGAATATCAAGCTAACACAGAACATGGTCTTTGCAAATATATGTTTTTCTGAAATGAATTCCACGTAACATTACGGATACATAGGCAAAATTTAGGAGTTTTGTTTCAAGCAAAATTGTAAATCATGCCAATACCACATATCACCAGTTTATTCATGTACTGTGATTATCCACTGCATACTCTACTGAATTTAGGGTGCACAAAAAAAATGAAATGAAAAATGTTTATATTACGGAGAAGATAAATTGTCTAACTTGAAATAACAATCAATTAGCAAAGAATAGAAGTTATTTTAAAGAATCACCTCACTCTAAAAGCCCATGCGATTTTTATATGAGGATGTATGGGAGAACCAAGAACTGCGAGACTCCCACCTCCATCACTGTGTTTTAACAATAACTTTGGAGTCTAGTTGACATTAAATTTTTGAATATGAAAATTTTCGTTGTAATATTTGACCTGTCGGTACTTTTTCTATGTTAGTTTGCTTACTACAAAACATTATCCTTTTTCGGTATATCTACACTGCTACATACCAATACAAGATGCGGGACTGCAAATTGCTGAACAACCAGCCCCAGAATTTGCTTGTGTGCACGAGTAATCTGTCATTGATTGATATTAGGAATTGAGTTCTTTGAAGATTAATTTCGTTAAAAAAATATGGTTTAATAGCTGATGTTATCTCACGCCAATGATTAGAAGTTTCTTCAAATGCAGAAAAAAAAATCTTATATATAATTATTATATTTATATCTTTATCTTTGTACCTATAAATAAAACACGCAAATTACCATAAAACTGATTTTAACTTATGATATCCTTAAAACTTTAAGTCAAAAGGGATTTTAATCAATTTCTTTTATGGAATTAAACCACTGAACTTTTTACATAATAGTCATATTCACACATGCAAATAATACTGTTAAATTTAAGTAGTACCATTTCTTTTTTTCAAACTTCACTCTGTTGTAGATGCCGCAGCCCTTGAGACAGCCAAACAAGTTTAGGCATATTTCTTTTTTGTTGATTTTACGCTGCAACTTGCATGTGCGGAAGATTTTACTTTGTATGAAATAGAAGTTATAAAAGTGTTATTATTAGTAACCAGAAATTCATAGCGGCAGCAGCTACAGTTCATAGGCATAAGAGCTAAGAAAGAAGGTGATGTATAGAGTTCCATTATTGCTCTGCAGCCGTTGCAGCACCATATCTGCATAATCAATTTTCTTATACAATCATTTTTAACAACCGTTAGATATAAATTCAATGGCTTAGATCACTGCTGCATGCCTAGGAGTACTACAAAATAAGCCATGATTTGTATGCGTGAAGTCAAATTTTGATAGATAAATACTCAATACAAAATAACATGTTTTAATATTCCTTAACTATGTAAATAGAGAATAAATATTTTATCAATTAAAAGTTATAAATTCTATATAATATAAAATAAATTCAATTTTCTCTTTCATAAAACATTTCATTCTTTTAAACTTCTAATTATTTTTATATGTTTTGAAATTCTTTTTTCTTTTAACGGTGAAATGTTTAAGAGATAACAAAATTTAAAACAATTTAATTCAATAAAAATATTTCTTAAAAATAGATTAAAAATGATAAAATTCTCTTGTTGCACCTATCAGAAATAGAGTGACAAGAGGGAGGACAAACTTAATATTGCAGTAAAAGTTTGTCAAACTTAACCTTTTCAACCAACTTAAAAAAATGGCTAACGTAATCTACTAAAAATGTATTTCTCTTTTCATTAGAAAAGTTACAATTTTATATTATTCTTTTTAATTAAACCAATCATTTATATTTTTTTTTAATATGTTTTGTCTCATCTACCTATTTCTACGAATTTAAACAGAGTGTAAAAGAATCTATGGAAACTATATGGTCCAAAATCGTGTGGCTTGCATTGTGTAATAAATGTAATCAAAATCAAGGTGTGATTACTTTTAAGAATCTATGGACAAACATAATGTCGCTATTCTTCCTCTCTCGAAACTATAATATCTTTCATAACATTAATGATTTTATATAATTTTTATAAACTCTCTTAATAAAATAATGTTACTAATAATATTAAAGAAAACGATAATGTAAATAAAGATAACAATAATAACAACAACGTAATTAATTTAATAACGGCAGTAATGGAAGAAAAAACATCAACAAATTATTATGGTTGTCATGTTTAAAAAACTATAATAATTAACAGGTGATGTTATGACTATGAATATAGGAAATTTAGTTTTGATGTGTTCAATATTCATGTAAATTCTATTTTAAAATTATTAGTATGAGTGGAGGCAGCTTCTGTTGTAGGTTTATTTTCTATCTTAAGTGTACTGCACAGTGTATAAAACAGAGAGTGAATCTTTGGCAAAGCAGTGGTGAGAGAGGTGATGCAGGAGATTGATATGCAGTTGCAGATTGTGCAGCAGATGAATGCAAGCAAAAAGAGCTTTGCATATTAAACATATATATATATATATATATATATATATATATGTGTGTGTGTGTGTGTGTGTACTTTTTGTTTTGGTTGTCACAGTCGTTTGTCTGAGACTGAGAAGTTTTCTTACACGCCACATCCATCCACCATAACATAACACTTTGAGTTCGCAAGCTTCAAGTAAATGCATGATTGCATGACATTAGATTCCCCTTATGGTAACATTACTATGCTACACAACACTGTCTTTTCATTTCTGCCAAATCCACACTAAAACCATTCAATACACCCACGTTCATAGGGAATTGGATTTTGTATTTTCTTTATTTATTGCACCTACTGAACCACCAACCCACTTTTTCTGCAACAACCATTCACCCTTCTCCACTCATCACAACGCAAATTAATCAACTCCCAAAAAGTCAGCTCTGCTCTTTCTAATTCTTACTTATTGCACACCGGCTCTTCCATGGCTTCCACTGTTATACTTAACGTATCCAGATCACACTTCCCATCTTCAACGTCATTATTCTTTTGAAATTGTCTTTGTCGTTTAAGGTTGCAATCGTAACATGTTTCATTGAAAATAAGATATGCAAAGGGTATTTCTTTTGGGAGAAGTAGCAGTATAATGGGAAAAAAAAAACATTGATTAGAAAGTAACAGTAGTAAAAAAAAATGGGTGAAGGAGGAGGAGCTTGGTGGGACCATGGAAGATGCACACTTGAATGAAAAAGTTGAATGGAATGCAGAGAGAGATGATGATGATGCCACCTTTCGCATGCGTACGTCCCTCTCACTTCCATTTGCTACTATTTTTTAATTTTAATTTTTCACTGTACTTCATTTATTTTCTATAACCCATTTTTAACCTTTTACAATACCATTTACCTGATTTTGTAATTTTGTAGCAAGACATAATTTCACATCAAGTATTTCTATGTCTAAACTAAACCTTTCGTTCACGGGAAATAGATGCCTTCAATCATGTTCGACTACTACAAAA